GAGAGAGAGAGAGGATCTTTTGGATCAATCTTATTAAGAAAAGAATGAATCCCTTCTAGTGCTTTTATACAATGTGTATTTTTATTGTATCACCAAACTAACTCTACACTAATGTGTAATTATTTTTGCTCTCTCTCTCTCTCTCTCTCTCTCTCACTTAGAGTCATTATTTCTTGTTGTAAGAATGTAAAATAATGGCGACTTTGTTGTTTTGTTGGCCTAAATAGGGATGATTTGGTTTTTCTGTCACCAAGTTTCTTCATTGCAACATGTCAAAAAAGGTTATTAGTGGCAACAATTGAAATCTTTTTTGTTGATTTGTAGAATTATTTGTTATCTGAATTCTGAAATCATCTATTTAGTTACCATGTGTAAAAGTTTTAACAATCTTGGAACTCTACTGCAGATTACTTTTTTCTTTTTACTTTTCTTTTTTTTTTTCTCTTATCTGAAAAAATGTTTGATTGTGGTTTGGTTGACCGGATATTTTTGGTATGAATATGCTTGAAAACAGGTTTTAAGCTGGAAGCCTCGTGCATTATATTTTCCTAAATTTGCTACCAAGGAACAGTGCCAGCACGTAATAAAAATTGCACAGTCAAGCCTTGTGCCCTCCTCATTGGCTTTCAGAGAGGGAGAAACCAAAGAAAATACAAAGGGCATAAGAACAAGGTACCTCTTATCCTTTATGTGTGGTCCATGTCCAATTAATAATATGTGCTTTGCTCAAAAATGAAGAAGTGGATTTGAGCGAGATTATTAATGCATAGAATGCATTTTGTAAACAAGCTGCTTGGAGTTCTTGTTGTAGTATGTGTTCTCCAAAGGCCTTGACAGTATGTAAAATTAACAAATAATGATTGAAAATAAATGGAAACATCCGGGAAGACTTACGCGATTATGCCTAGGGTGATCATGTAGGACTTAATACACCCCACACCCGATTTTCTGTTGATGTCGCCCTCTGATCTTATTGGCCAGAAGCTTCCTTTGGCAATACCTCACAAAGCTAGGGTTTTGAAGAGCATAAACAATTAGAGTTGATTGGATGCCCTTTAGAGCAATTAGGGCATGCCTCAAGGCACTTCCCTTTTTCTAGGACTGGGAGTGCCTCACCATTGCTTGTACCTTATGGGAGTGGCGTGCCACCCAGAGAGAGATATGAGAGTGGGGTGTGGAGAAGAGAGAGAGTCAAGAGAGAGAGAGGCTAAGGAATTGTGTATGGAATGAGAGGGGTTTCGCCTCCTTATATGAGCCTCAAGGGCCCCTAGGTATACTTATCCAATTATGACTCTCCATGACCAATCGGATTTTAAGAAATCTGTGAGGTGAGAGAAATAGATTTGAGCCATCTATCTTATGAATCAAGCTCATGATCTAGAACTTCCTTTGTCTCTTATAAAATTATAGGAAGTCAAAAATAACTTTTTTTTTTGTCAAAGAATATTTCAATTAACTAATTCCCACAAAATTAGGATAGAATATGCTTTTAAAAGATTTTCTTTTATTAGTATCCTTTTAAAATCTCTTCTTTTAAATAAGAAAACTTTTTAATAGAAAATAAGAAAACAAAAAAAAAAGGTGGGGCGTGTGCCGCCCCATGTGTGAGGTGTGTGAAGTGCGCCCCATGGCCACCCCCACCCCCCACCCCAAACATACACCAAAAAAAAAAAAGGCTCCACACCCCATCCATGTTGTGTGGCTCACATGTGGGGTTGAATCCAAGGACCCCACATGTGCCCCTTCATAGTATTTGTATATTAGAAAAACCCTTTTCAAGGAATTTTCAGCTAAATTTAATTAAACAAAGTATTTAATATTGGACTGGTACCAGTGGGTCAAGATAAGTGACTGTCAGGGCACTACACGACTTATTAACCGTGATCCTCAAAAATCTTCTCAAACTAACGCAATGAGACCCTTGACCCACAATCTCATGTAGGGGCTCATGGTTGGCTCATCAAAGTTGGTCAATAAATAGTGAAACTACAGTACTGAAATGTGGATTATAGTTCTCCCCTTAAGAGCAAGTCATATGCATATATCATGATAGCATAAGGGGGGCTCTCCTTACACACATGTACACGTATCTGTTTCAAGGTTTCTTCTCGATAATGCGGCTATCATATATATATGTCGTGCAGAAGTTAGTCGAGGATTTATCTATTACAGGATTTATCTATTACTCTCACATGCATACATCCCCACACAGGAGACCACATAACTCTCTTGGCCTACAATCCATCCCTTGGCATTGCTCCAACCTCAACAGGGGATGACCTTTTATAAATCCTATTTGGTAGTGTTATATTTCTTGGGGTAATGGTTTTGGACATGACTAGGGCCATTGACCACCTAACCCCAAATAAGGTTTCTAGCACGTGTTTGTGAAAGTTCAAATTGTGTGGGTGCCCTTTTTGGTTATGCTCTCTCATAACTCAATGTCCAGATTTTCCATGAAGTTTCCCATTTTATGACGATTCAAGAGGGACTAAGATTAGTGTGCCATCAAGCTTGGTGATCCGGTGTGGGGTGTTTAGAAGTTTTTTGGAGGTGATCCCAAGGCAAATTGTAGATTATCCCGGTAATGGCTTTCCATAGTTCCCACGCAAAATTTTTGTCATATTTTTTATTTATTTATGAATGGAAAGAGTCGTTTCATGGCTCATCAAGAGAGGATCCTTTATATATATGTATATATTGCTTTCTTTTATTGGGATTTTGTTGTATGTGGCACTTATAAATAGGCTTATTGGTGTAGGTAATATTTTCTTTTTAATTTATATATAGTACATGATATCGAGTATTTGTAGCTATTAAAGGCCTTATGAGAGCATATAATCAATATTTTGATATAGTGCAACAAAGAACTCCTGTGGGAGTATGGTCCAATAGGATCAAGATTGACAAATGTTGTTTGTCGAGACTCAGACTAGGCTTAATAAACTAGGCCAATTGAGTTACAAAACCCTAAATACCTGGGCATAGAGCACAACCGATGAGGGTTAGCAAGGTTATCCCTTGATGAGATTAGAGTTGCCTAGGGTAGCGAGCCAAGGGACAATGTGACATTTGCGTGTGATTGGTAATCCTATAGCGACGAAGGCTAAAGCCTCATCTTAAACCATCACACGATATGTACATATAATAGCCGTATTAGGAAGCAAATCACTATTGAGGATGATACGTATAAATGTGCAAGAGGTAATCCCCATAGCATCATAGAGTTGTGTATACACAGGTCTATGTGACCTTGGATTTGTCCCTAGAGGGAACCTGTAATCCATTGTCTAGGATTGTGTCCCCTCATCTATTGTCTGACTTTGGTAGCCCAATCATGAACCCTTGTGATGGTTTGTGGGTCATGAGAATTGCTGGGTGAGTTTGAGAAAGTGAGTGTGGATTATAGTCCTCAGTAGAAGATGGAGTGCTTCAGCAAAATTAATATTTCCTTACCATAGATCTAAATTTCATCAAATTTATTTAGAATTAGTTATTTTGATCTTAAATGATTTTTAGATTAATAGATTGAATTTTTAAAAGTCTATAGGTATTTTATTTTCTCAAAATGGATTTATAAATTGTCTAAAACTGAATTTTCAGTATTTTAATATTCAGAGAGAAAAATAAAATAATTAACATTATCAAAAAATCAATTTATGTATTTTATAAAGAGTAAAATATATGGGGGCCCATCATGAGCTATGGGGCCCACCATAAAAGCACATGTGGGAAGTGCGTGGGGCCCACATAAGGGCCCTATGAGAGGCACACCCCACTTAGAGGGCTTCTTTCCTTATTTTATGAAGAGGCCATCAAGACACTCATTCAATTGAAGCAAAAAGGAAAGTTTGAAAATTGTAGAGATTTAATTTTCAAAGAAAGCATGTGTAAGAGAGAATATGGAAATAAAAGGAATATGTAATATATTTTTCATATTTTATTTAATTAATGAGATTAGGTTAAGGAAGCTAAGGGTAAGGTTTTGTACCTTCTTTTTAATCACAATGGTTGATCTAAAGATTGTAAAGCTAAGATCTCTTACCCCACAGGTCTCCTATGATCAATGGTTTGGATCTATTCTCCATAAAGATAGTTAATCCTATGAAACCCTAACCCTGGCTTGAGTCTATAAGTACTTCTATGGGGTCTCATATTCTCTACACCTTGAGCTCTCTCTCTCTCTCTCTAGCCTCCTTAAAGATTAGAAGAATATTTCTAAGAGTAAAAGAAGGCCACACCTCAAACCCAAATCGGCCAAGAAAATGGGACTCCCACATTGTAGGCATCGAGACCTGGTTCTGTTCCACCATTGGTTAAATAGCTTAAGGTTTTCCATACTTATACGATCTGAGATAGACCTTGATCTCGAGCGCCATCGGAGGAGACCCGGAGTGAGGTGTATCAAATCCAGTTGAGGTAAGCTTCTGGCAATTTATTTTATGTTAATACAGTTTGTGTATATCAAGTTTATGCAATTTTGTTTGTGTAATAAAAAATTGTTAAGCGAGTGAGAGTTCTTGGATTCTTTGTGATTAAGAAGAAAAATTTTAATCGGTATACACTTGCCCGGGGTACATAGTTCTGCTTTTATTGGTATCAAAGCTGGTTATCTTGTTGCTATTTTTTTGTTTTTGTTGTTCTTGGTGAGTTTTGGATCAAAAACTTGAAAGCCAAAGGTTTTGTGGTCAAGTGGTGGACCTCCGGATTGGCATGTTTCCTGCACCAAGAGGCAATCTGCAGAATGGGGATTTTGTGCTGATTTGAAGCACTGATATGAACTAGAGGATGAGTGGGAGATCATGGGGGAATTGAGAGTCATAAACTTATCATTGAGGAGTGTCAGTTCTAATCTTGCAAAATCCAAGACCTATATACAGTGTTCCGTGAATTTTTCACCAAGTAAACATTTTTATTTTTGAGGAATCTTTGACTATGACGCCTCCAAATTGAGTGCACTTTCAAACAAATGGAGCTGGTCACCTAGGAAACTGAGGATGTGGTGGTGCTTGTTAATAAGTTCAGTAGGTGCCGTTAGTAGCTTCCAAATTCAGAGAAACCCTGGAATGCGAAATGGAGGATGTGGTGGTGCTTCTTAATAAGTCCAGTAGGTGCCATTCGTAGCTTCCAAATTCAGAGAAACCCTGGAATGCGAAATGGGAAATTTGAGCCAAATCATGTTTACAGAAAACAGGGGTTCTTAAAAAGCATGAATATTTTCATGGAGAAAACCCTTGTGGTTTGAAAGATATTATTGTTTCATTGGAGGGTGCTCAAAAGCTGTTTTCTGCAACGAAGGTTGTTTTTGTTATGTGAATGTCATAATTTTATATCCCTTCTTTACAAAATGATTTTGGGCCCATACTGAGTTTGTATATTGCCATTTTGAGTGTATTTTCTAACAAAAATTATTTGAGAGAGAAACTCCATGGTCATTAAAAGAAAAGGTAATTTTATTTAAAAAGGGTCATCCTAAATTTCTACAGTTTGATGTGAGAATATCTCTATTTTTCACGCCTACTTAACAGAGTGATATGAGGCCTGCCGAAAGATATTTGTTGCCATTTTGTGTCTACTTTTAAACAAAAAAGGTCTGAAAGGTAAACTCCATGAGGATAGAGAGAAAAGGTAATTTTACTACCCTAGTGTTCATCCTGGAATTTTGCAATATGACCTATTTTGTGATGTGAGTGTCACTTATTTATTCCCTAAAGAAAAATATTATTTGGGATTCACACCATGATGTTGAATTGTGGTTTTGAGTCTAGTTTTCGGCTTTAAAGGTTTGAGGAAGAAATTTTTTGTGGATTGAGAGAAACAATTATTTTATTGAGGGATGCTCATTCTGATTTCTATTGTATGAACTATATTGTGATGTGAATGCCACTAATCCGTAGGCTCACTAAATGGAGTAGCTTGGGGATGGCACTGAGTATTGTTTTGTAATTTTGTGTCGATTTTCATACTCAAAAAGTTTCAAAGATAAACTCTTTGTGAATTGAGAGATATCATAATTTTATCATGGGATGCTGATCTTATATTTTGCAGTAAATAGAAAAATGTGACATGTTAAGGCACATTTTTTATTTGGAAGCCTTTTCACACTCATTCAAAGTTTTATAGTGTGTCATGAGTATGATTTATAACTGCAAAACTTCAAAGATAGGTAATGCAATATTGGAGAGATATGACACTTTATGTGAAGAGTACTCAATCTGGTAATTGTAAAAAATAGAAGAAACACAGTACATGTAAAAGCATATTGGCTTCTATTTGTTTTGGCAATGAAGGGATTTGTAGAGACACATGTGGGAGCATAAAAACTCTAATGATCAGTAGGAAAATCAAAATTGTGATCTTTGGAATGATGGGAGGGGGAAGAATATTTCTTCATGGTATGACAAAGGGAGAATCCAAGGGCCGGAGAGATGGGCACTTTGTTGACATATAAAAATGATGACCAAGTGATTCTCCATCAGTTGTGTGCTCTTCCAAGTCTATAAAAGTTCCTCAGCAAGAAAAGGCAAGGATCAATAAGCGCCTTGGTATCATGTTACATAATTTTGAGGTATGAAATCTATCCTACATCACCTGGTTAGGTCATATAGGGAAAGATGATTCAATAACTTATTTTGTATACCTCTCCTTTATACTTCTTTGATTATATCTTATATCTTGGCTTTTTATTCATATGTGAGGAGAGGAAGGACATTAGTTTGTAGGTGCTAAGAAGTTTGAAAGAGCCAGTTTTAAATACCCTATATATATGTGCCTCCTTGAGCTTGTGTGAACTATTTAAGGTAGTAAAACGCATGGAAATGTAGTTTTGGTGTTTTTGATCTAGGTCTATGGACCTAAGTACCAAACATGAAAGATGGGTATGGCTCATTCAAATATGTAGCACAAAGGGAGTGTTGCACCCATTTTGTATGTTCCAATGGAACCCGATCTTGGTGACCATCCTCTCAATAATGTCCGGTGATATGGTGTGTTGCATGTGATGAGGATCTCATATTAAAGTCTCCAAACTTGCCAAGAAAATGTGTGTTTTGGATATTTTCAGATTTTGATAACGACCCTTTAGTCATGTTTTTGTTTTTTTAATAAAATCAAAGATGGATTTGATGATTTGGTTTGTGGCTATAACATGACTTGGTAAATAATTAAAGGTAAATGTGGTGAAATGTGTTTCAAAGACTAAGCATGTTATTTTGAAAATTGGAATGGGTCATTTATATTGAAAAACCTAGGTCTATGGATATGGTTTTGAGAAAACTCCATAGTCTTGCGAGGTCCACCAAGTCTTTATGGAAAATCATTTTAAACCGCCATGCTATTTTCCAACTATTGCTGTGAAAATATACCAGGTCAAGAACTTTGATAAAACGAAAAATCATTGAGTCTTGAAACTTTTTTATAAACATTGAATTTTTAGAAGTCTCTGGATATTTTATTTTCTCAAAATGGATTTATAAATTGTCTAAACTGAAATTTCAGTATTTTAATATTCAGAGAGGAAAATAAAATACTTAACATGTTCTAAAGGGTGTGGCTTCTATAAGGTTGCAACCTTAAACAATCCAATTAATGCGCACCTCCGAATTTTACCATAACATGTAATTTTGGCGTAAAAAATTCTTAGGATTATTTGAAAATCTATTTTCATATCTAATTATAGAATTTTAAACTCAAAAAATGGTTAAAATCAACTAGATCTATAAACATGAAAATCTTGAAACTGGACAGTCTAGATAATGTATTGCAAGATGCAGTATTTATGGGGCTCAAAATCTTTTTTTTATTCATATTCATCCATCTTGATGTCAAGATGATCAATTAGAGGGTTTTTCAACATTAAAACAACCTTTTCCGATGCAGTTTCGAGGTGCATCTTGAATTCTACCATTTAAGGTTGCAACCTTATATAAACTTTTTTCTTTTCTAAAAATCATTTTATGCATTTTATAAATCGTAAAATATATGGGGGTCCATTATGGGCTATGGGGCCTACTATAAAAGTACATGTGGGAAGTGCGTAGGGCCCACAATAGGGCTCCATGAGAGGTGTGCCCCACTTTGAGGGCTTCTTTCCTTATTTTATGAAGAGGCCATCAAGGCACTCAATCAATTGAAGCAAAAAGGAAAGTTCTGAAAATTCTGGAGATTTGATTTTCAAAGAAAGCATGTGTAAAAGAGAATATGGAAATCAAAAGAATATATAATATATTTTTTATGTTTTATTTAATTGATGGGATTTGGTTAAGGAAGCTGAAGGATAAGGTTCTAACACCTTCCTTTTAATCATGATGGTTGATCTAAGAATTGTAAGGCTAAGATCGCTCACCCCATAAGTCTCCTATGATCAATGGTCTGGATCTATTATCCATAAAGATGGCTAATACTAAGAAACCTTTACCCCTAGTTGAGTCTATAAATAGCCTCTATGGGGTCTCATATTCTGTACATCTTGAGCTCTTTCTCACTTTCTTCCTAAAGAGGCCACACACCTTTCTCTCTCTTTCTTCCCTCAAGAGGCCACACGCCTTTCTCTCTCTTTCTTCCCTAAAGAGGCCACATGCCTCGCTCTCTGATCTAATCTCTCTCTCTCTCTTTCTCTCTAGCCTCTTTAAAGATTAGAAAAATATTTCTTAGATTAAAAAAGGACCACGCCCCAAACCCAAATAGCCAAAGAAAGGGGCACGCTCCGCATTGTAGCCATTGAGGCCTAGTTCTGTTCTACCTTTGCTCTCTGCATTAAAGGGTTGAATAGCCTAAGGTTTCTCATACTTATAAGATCTGAGATAGACTTTGATCCCATGTGCCATTGGAGGAGGACACCTGGAGTAGGGGGTATCAAGTCCAGTTGAGGTACTCTTCTGGCAATTTATTTTCTGTTTATGCAGTTTGTGTTTCATGCTCCTGAGATCAAGTTTATGCAATGCAACTTTGTTTGTGTAGTAAAAAGTTGTTAAAGTGGCAGCAAGTGAGAGTCCTTGGGATTCTTTGTCTTTTTATTGTTTCTCATAATGTATTTGGACAATTGTAAGTGATCCAGGTAGTAAAAATAAAGAAAAGAAGAAAAATTTAATCGATATACACTTGCCCGGTTTACGTGTCCTATTTTCACAGGATCTATACAGTCACCTCTTTGTTCCCTATCCACTTACGATTGCTCACTTTTCTTCAATGATAAAATCCGTATTTACCAAATTGTATCAATAAGTGGTTCAATTTTTTGAGTCACTGTAATCTGGACTTTGGAGTTTCAATGGACTGAATCGCTTAGGCAAATGTAGCTTGTCCATAGCAAACCTTCCCCTGGCTTCTGATCTTTATTGTGGATACTGATAAAGCGATGTTGGGCGACCTTCTTTGGTGTACATATTTGATGTAACTAAAGCTGTTTAATTTCATTGAACCATGCCTACACTAGTTTTAGACAAGTTGGTTAAAATTTAGGAGGCCTCCTCTAAGACCTTACTAGTGGTTGACCTTCTAGGTTCTCTAACCAAAACAATTTTTGGGGAACGCAGTCGATGGTTGATGGATGCTGTCCAGCAGGGTAGGAGGAAATGGAGAAAGGTTTGCCATTCCTGCAATGGTTGTTCTAATGGCCATGTTTGGATGCTAGTTGACATTTCTCATTATATCCCATCATGGGCTTCTGGCTGTTCATTTTTGTTGAGTATGCTTTACACTGACCATCATAATATTTACTGAGGATATCTCTTAGCTGTCTTCTGAAATAGGGATTTTCTGAATACTTGGATGCAAAGCACATATCCATCCAGAAGGATCTGATTGCTAGTCTGTGCATTTTTATGACAGTTCAGGCACATTTGTGAGTGCGTCCGAAGATAAATCAGGAATACTTGACCTTATTGAGGAAAAGATTGCGAAGGTTACAATGCTCCCAAGGACACATGGAGAGGTATTATCCTTACTATTCCCACATAACTATAATGATGTTGTGTTCATTCCTTTTGATTGTTATGGCTCGACTATATTTTCAGAGTATTATATTTTCAGCTAACTATATTTTCAGAATATAGCATTCCAAAAGAAATCGTTGGGCTTCTATTGTGTGCTTCTAGTGTGTGTATTGAAGAACGCCCTCTTTGTCATTCACACTTGAGAAATATTATTCTTGACTATATTCTGATTAAACAAGAAGCATGATATGAGCTGCCATTTATTGGTACTTAGCAGAGAGTTATGTTTTCACTTGGAGGACTTTCATGACTTTTAACTTTGAAATGTTTGCATTCTTTTCCTTCAACTTGTGCACATATTCTAATGTTCTGTTTTATGATTCTCATCAATGTAGAGTCTTTTATAAACCTATATATCTGAAGCTCTATGAGCAGCTTGAATGAAGTTCAGGTTGTGGTTAAGAGACAATCAGTGTATGGCTATGGAAGGAGCGGCTGCCCGTGATGCGGAGCCTTAAAAGCCCTGCCAAATTATGCATCTAGACAGTTTCTAACGGCCCCGCCAAATTATACATACAATAAGACCATATACAGTTTGGCTTTGAGAAACTAATTTCTAATGGAGGCAAGCGCCTTTGTAAAAATGTCTGTTGTTAGGTGCTCATTGCATGAAACACGCTTCGAGTTTTAGTCTTTGGTTTTCTTTTGAATAAAATGTTGACCTATGGCTATATATTTAGTTTTGCTGTGCTGAATAGGGTTCAACTATATGTAGATAGCAAGGTTTTAAAAACTGGTCCGCCTAGTGCCCAGGCCGCCCCCTAGTGCCCAGGCAGCCAAGGCCACTTAACGTAGGCTGAGGCACGCTACCCTGGGCAGAAGTTCTTGGGCGTCCGCTCAGGATCTGCCATGAGAAATGGTAGATAAGCCCCCTTTTGGGGGTCATTTTGACCCATAGAAATGGGAGGAAAGGGGAGGGGGTGTTCTAACACCTTCAAAGTGAGAAATGCTCTTTCAAACCTAAACAATTCGAAAATCCATTGATTTTGTGAATTTTTCGGGCCAAGAATGTTTTGGAAAGCTTGTAAAATCTGCCCAAACCTTACCATATCTTTTCGGAAACATTTTAAGGGTCCAAGTTAGGTTAATAGAAGGCTTTTGGGGTGATTTTGAGCTTGGAATACACCCAAAACATATGTGGACAAGAGATCAAGCAAAATGTTGGTGTGTTTGAGATTTCTTTCCTAGATTCGAAATGTCTTCTTCAATGTGTACAAGAAGTGGGGATTTGGGATGAAAATATTGTATGAACCTAGATAAAAATGATAAAAATAAAATAATGTGCAATTTTTGTGGTCACAAATGCCAGGATGAATAGGCCCAAAAAACATCTTGTTGGCATTAGGGGGGATGTTGCTCCATGTAAAAACGTTCCTGCGCTTGTGAAGAAAGATATTTTTGAATTTGTAGAAACCTAAGAAAATGAAAAAAACAATGTAGGAGAAGGATATAGCAAATTTGATGGTGGGTTAATACTTTTTGTGATGATGGTGAGGAGATTGATAAAGGGGATGATGAGGTAAGCCAGGTAGCATTATCTCAAAGTTTTACGAGGGCTTTCGAGTCTAAGAGCCCTTGTATGGCTAATAGAGATTAGAGTAGAAAGCAATGGCAAAACCCTAGAAATTGGATAGTTAGGTTAGTGAGAGAGAGAAGAGACGAACCAGAGAGGGAAATAAGAGAGGGTGAAAATGGAGAGAGAGAGAGAGAGAGAGAGAGAGAGAGAGTAGAGAGAGA